TTCATGTAGTTTTTTAGATATGTAAAGTTTTTATTTGTATACTAATATTTAAATAAAATAAATTGAAATTTTGTTGATATTTTACATCGTTTTTTAGAAATGTGGTAAACACTCAAAGAGGGAGCATATAATAAAACCACTTAAAATGATGGATTACCGGTGCACAACTTTTTGAATAAAACAAAAAGAGAGCTTTAATTTGTTTAACTTTAACAAATGGACCAACTTTTAGAAAGTCTCCACCCATATGTATATGCTTTTTTTATTTTGTTATAGAAATTAAAGTAAGTGTCCATTCAATATTTTTTTTAAATGGAAGTCGTAATGGCATTCAATAATCAGTATAATCACTACTAATAGAATCCAAAATGGGGCAATGAAAGGCATATATTAATATTACTGTCCACCACAACGCATAGTCGGGTGAGAAAATATGATTTCACATCATTAATTAGATGTGTCACCTTTGTCTAAATGGCGCTCATTAATTGGGATTTGAGGTCATTAAATACTTTATGTCTTTCTATCTCATAAAAAAAAGATGGTTGTCATAAACACATTTGACTTAAATCATTTTTAGTTAATTTCTTTACTTCCAATGTGCAACAAAGTTTGCTCCCCAACATCTTTTTCAATGTAAATATGTTGATGAAAAATTTACAATTTTTTTAAATACTATTGACTCTATTACAAGGCATTATCTGTTTATACTATTCTCAATCTAATAACGCACAAAAAGTCAATTCTTTCGCATCCGTTGGGACTCGAATCTAAGTAAACTTTCTCATAAACCCTGAGGAGTGAACTTGCCACCACTAAAGCCAGGGAGGTTATCATTTTCCATTCCTTTCTTACCAATCAAAGTGTAAATGTTTTACAGTTTTACTCAGCCACTCGTGACAAAAATGCTCATAACAAAGTGTGGCCAATACTTTTCCATATAGCTTCTTGCTATTGCAGGCTTCCATATACCAAATCACAATCATTGGTAGAAGACTTGAAGGACTTCTACCCATTTTGGTCCAAGGCATTTAATGACCCAAGCAACTGAGAATCACAATCCACAACCGACAAGCAAATTTTATTTGTACTGAAAGAAATATAATCTCACAGCCAAAGGGATTTGTTTGGTGGCTACACCACTTCCAACAACAACCGTTGCGGGCCGAATTAAACATCAATAAATAAATCCATCCTCCAAAATTTGTACTTATAATGTACTAGACAAACTTTGAACATCGATTAAATAAAAATATTAAAATATTTTAGTATAAAAATTGTTTAATGGATTTTTCTTGTTTAGAACTACGGAGTATTACATATTCAAATTATTATATCAATATGCAATACAAATTAAGAATAATTGATGATTAGAGCTCGTCCGATTTGACTCGAAAAAGTCAAACTGTATGAATACATTGGGACGGAGGGAGTATCTCAAATGATTCACATTTACATTTCGTATAAATAGAAGTATAAGATTGATGAGTTATATTGAGAGAAAATGTCAGTGCAAAATCTTGAGATCGCACTGATATTTTGAATTAACGTAAGCCATCAAAATGTAAGCAAAAAAATTTGGAATATATTTTAAGGTATTATCCTTGGGTATACCTAGTAAGGCTAGCATGATTGATTAAACATAAAGTTTTAAATTGAAATGGAGAAGTAATTTCAAATCCAAAAGATACACTCTTTCCGTCCCCAAATAGATCGTAATCTTTTTTTCTCTCCCATTTTGATAAATTTTGTTTATTTTCATTGAATATTTAATAAAATAAAATATTCTTATCACTTCTCATTTCGTAAAACTTTTAACATGATTTTTTAATATATAATTTTTATTTTTTAAATGTAAAAATTTGCAAATAAAATAATTTTAAAAATTAAGAATTTTTTGTCTCCTAACGGATGGATGTAGTATGGGTTAATTCTCGTACAAAAGAAGTCAAATCACAAAAAAGGAAGATGCCAAACCAAGTAGTACTACTCATCTGTTAAGGCCGTAGTCAAAAACTTCATCTTCTTTGTTCCGGACTAGGAATCCGATGCGCCAAACGGAATATGGACTCAATTTCCATCTCAATTTAACTTGTTTGTTCATAATTTACATGATCAAATTTTAGTTACTTTTTTTTTTATTTTTGTCAATCAATTGATAAAATCTTAGTTTAGTCTTTGGATATGTACGTATAAAATTTACAAGTATTTTTTTAATTTTACATTTATTTTCAAATAAATAAAGTTAAACTACTTCAGTCGAACATCGTAAAAAGAAACATGCAACTCAAATTAAGGGGGATGGAGTATTTTCTAATTTTTTGGTACAATAGCGAAAAAGGTGCATCTATCTATTATTAATCTCAAATAGATGTAAAAAAAGTATATGCATATATTCAAAAAAAAATACATCAAAATTAAAAACCCCTAAAGAAACTTATGAAATTAGTTTATGAAAGGGTTTGTTGCGTACCCAGCCTTCAGATTATTTTGAGTAGAGTTATTATTAATTTTTTTGAAAGTATTACTCTCATCATCCTAAAATTATTTTTAAATTATTTTATCAAATAATGAATGAAAATAGACAAATATAATGAATAATATTTGACTACATGAATAATACCGAGTAATTGAAAACACAATTTTAATTATCAAGAGTACCAATTGATGTTGAGTTGGAAGGCACTTGGCTTTTGGATTAGTGCGAGGTTATTGTTGATTTAATATAACTTTCAATAATTTCTCAAAGAAAAGTTAACCGAACGTCGTCCGAAGATTCATCTTTGGTGCGAAAGTCAATGCCATCATTTGTGGAGAATTTATACAAAATGAAGGTGAAAGCATGCGGCGTACAAATCTTGGGGTAGAAATAACTTAATCCTTAAGCTATTTGTACACCTCAATTTCTACATCACATATTTGCACATTCATTTTGTGTCAAGTTAATGTTAGAGTGATAGTTCACACAGACACAAAATGTTAGTACAAATTTTTGTTAATAAACATCATTTTGTATCAGTGTAAACCATTAAAATGTTAGTGTATACAATTGTTGTAACTTTGGGGTACATTTTTCGGTGTAAGTGTAGAATGGTTGATAGCTTAATCCAAATTTATAACCGATCTGTGAACTTGCCCGGCAGCCCAATATTTACGCTACAACTGCTTATACGGTGTTTCTTGTACATTTGCAACGATTATTCATTTACAAAATACTCATTTACCTCTTTCCGAATATACTTGACGAATGGAATAAACGAACGGAGTTGAACGTAAAGATATAAAGATATACGTTACACTCACTTCGCTATCTTGACTAATCAATTGGGGAATGGGGGCTTTCGCTTTCTTTTAATAGAAGTGCGCCAAACACTCGATATTGATCGGGAGACTACCCGGCAAACTAATGGGCTATGACCCTTTCTTTTCAAAGGTGAAGGGTTCCGACAAATCTCTGTTTTTTTCAATGACTCGGTATTCACGGAAATGAATGGTTGTAAGCAGATTCGCTAGTTGGCCCTCTGAGTGCATTGATGCAGAGAAGTTGGAATAGTGTATATTCATTTTTTTAAAATTCAATTATACTTGAAAGTAAATATTCAATTAATCGAGAATGAGAATTTATTTGCTCGAAAATAAGTATTTAGCTACTTGTAAATGAATACTCATGCGGATGTACGGAAAATATCCTACATCCAGATGTATGGTATATGTACTCGTTTAAATGAAAATAGTAATTAAATTAAAAAAATGGGAACGGTAAATTTATGCTCCATCCTTCCCAATATTTGTTAAATTTCACTTTTTAAAGTTAAATTAGATAAACCTTGAGTTTCAAATAATAAATAAAAACTAATTTTTTAGCATAAAAATAATTTTATTAGATTTATCTTATTGATAAGTTTTAAAATTTTACTTTTTATGTTACGATACAATATAAATTGAGAGTAATTGAAGTTCAAAATTTGTCTAATTTGATCTCAAAAGTCAAACTAGATAAATAAACTGCAAAAAGGTATACCACTTACACATGTTTGCCTTCAAACATACACCCTCGCTTATGTATTAGTGCTTCACAATTGACTGGACATGAATATTTTAAAAAAGATCAAAGATCAAGAAAGAAATGATGTAAACTAGGGGTGGGCACGGGTCGGGACGGTTCGGGTTTCTTACAATCCCGCGTCCTGTCCCGTTATATTCAAACGGTTCGGAACGGTTCGAACCATAAGCCTATCCCACTTTGTCCCATAATTTTCGGGACCGGGACAAAACGGAACGGATTCGGATTGTCCTACTTTTTCCTAATTTTAGGACAATAATAAAAATTGAAAACAAAAAGATTGAAAATAAATGCTACAACAATGTCAACAAGTATTAATTGTTAAGTACTTAAAATGTTTCACGAGATACGTACGGAGTAATATATATATGTGTGTGTGTGTGTATACACACACACACACACACACACATATATACACACATATATATACATACATACATACATACATACATATATATATATATATATATATATATATATATATATAATGTTTTTAGAATAGTATATAAAACGGGACAAACGGGATGGAACGGTACACTTGTATGTTATCCCGGTAATGTCCCACTTAAAATCGGGACAGAACGGGTTCGGGACGAAAAAATTTGAATCCAAAAAAAAAGGTACAATTTCAAAACGGTTCCGGTACGTTTCGGAACGGGTCAACGAAAACGGTTTTCGTGCCCGCCCCTAATGTAAACCACAAAAGAATGCAAAAAAACTCCTTATGTCCAAAATATTTGTCACATTACGTAGTATGAAGCGAAATTTCAAGCTTTCCCAATTCAATTTATTTAAAATTACGTCAAAAGTTCTTCAAAATAAGAGTTGACAAAAATATTTTATTTTATTAAATAACCAATGAAAACGTACAAATAAAAAAGGATATGCATGTACAAATAATCCCTTTCTATAAAAAAATTGCTTTTATCCTTAGTAACTGTTTCTTATTTTTGCTCAAAATCAGTATATGGATTGTTTTAAGGATATGCATGCTTTTCAATTTGGCCTACTGAGTATGAGAGGGAGATAGAACAATAAATGGAGAATTAAATGTGCATTTCATTTTGGGTCATTGAATTTAATGGTCTCTCTCAAGGCTCAACTCCTCGAGAGCCAAGAAAGAGATATTACAGAACTTCTATGCACAATTTTCTTCCTGGTTCCTTTTGTGGTCGCTCTCTTTGTCCGTTTTAAGGGATCTGAAAGGTTTATCTCTATAAATTCTCAGGTTCGACTCCTCTTCCTACTTGGGATTTTGATGCAAGTAAATAAAGTTGTTGCCTTTACTTTGTATGTGTGGCGGGGTTTGCTAAAGAGACCAGTCTTTGAATTTCATGTTTTTTTTCTTCTCTTGCAGTTTTGTGTGATTCTTTAATGAATCTGCTGTTTCTTCTGTGATTTTATATTACTCAGTTAGAGCATTCTATCATCTAACTTTATATTCTTTTTTCTTTTCATCTCTTTTTCAGAGAGTGTCACACTGGGGGGTCTCTTGATCTTTGCCTATTGTGTGTTTCCAGTCAGTCTCTGGAGCCCAAGTATTTGAAAATATGCATGAACCAAATGGTTCTTGGGTTTTTTCCCTTGAGATGTTGGAATTTGGTTTTTGAAAACAAATTAAAGGGCTCTCTCTCTCTCTCTCTCTCTGATTCTGCAAAGATTTAAGATTTATTCCCTTTTGCTTTAATCTATAGGAGACATAGTGGTTTGATGGGCTGTAGTATAAAATTTAAGATTTAGTTTTTTTCTCTGTTCTTTGGACAGTTGGACACACATACACTGTAATTGTCAGCAAAAAAGAAAAATCTTTCATGCATCTTTCACTATGGAACCCAATGTCTCTTTGTGCTGCTCTCATATTGGACAAGAAGGGCAAAAAGAGAGATGGATCATCTAACCATTCCCCGGAAAGAGTTAGGAGGAACCCATCATCAAGTCTGAGGAAGCTAGAAGTACACAGGATCAAGGAGGCACTTGAGGAAGCATCTGAAAATGGTTCTCTTTTTAAATCCCAAGGGATAGACTCGGGGGCCATTGAAAACCAGGATGAGAGCTTGGGGAGATCGCGGTCACTTGCAAGACTGCATGCCCAGAAGGAATTCCTCAAAGCCACTACTCTTGCTGCGGACCGCACATTTGAGTCGGAGGACTCAATTCCAGAACTACATGAATCCTTCTCCAAGTTCCTCACCATGTACCCTAAGTACCAGGCGTCAGAGAGGGTTGATCAGCTGAGGTCTGAGGAGTATTCTCACCTTTCCGGGTCCGATTCTAAGGTATTTCTTGACTACTGTGGATTTGGGCTGTTTTCATTTCTTCAAACGGTTCACTATTGGGATTCATCAACATTTAGCTTGTCTGAAATTACTGCCAATTTGAGCAATCACGTTTTGTATGGGGGCGCTGAGAAAGGCACCGTGGAACATGATATTAAAGCAAGAATTATGGATTACTTGAACATCCCTGAGAACGAGTACGGCTTAGTGTTCACTGTTAGCAGAGGATCAGCCTTTAAATTGCTGGCTGAATCATACCCCTTTCACACGAACAAGAAGTTGCTGACAATGTTTGATCATGAGAGCCAATCTGTCAATTGGATGGCTCAGGCTGCCAGGGAGAAAGGTGCCAAAGTATACAGCGCCTGGTTCAAATGGCCAACCCTCAAGCTCTGTTCAACAGATTTGAGGAAACAAATCTCAAACAAAAAGAGGAGGAAGAAAGACTCGGCTACTGGCCTTTTTGTTTTTCCTGTCCAATCTAGAGTTAGTGGAGCGAAGTATTCTTATCAATGGATGGCTTTGGCTCAGCAGAACAATTGGCATGTCCTGCTTGATGCCGGCGCACTAGGTCCCAAAGACATGGATTCACTAGGGCTGTCTTTGTTTCGACCAGATTTCATCATCACCTCATTTTATAGGGTGTTTGGCTATGACCCGACTGGATTTGGATGTCTAGTTATAAAGAAATCTGTGTTGGCAAGCCTTCAAAATCAATCTGGCCATGCTGGCTCTGGTATTGTGAAGATCACTCCAGTTTTCCCTTTGTATTTGAGTGATTCAGCTGATGGTTTCCCTGAAGACGGTGAAGAGATTGAGGTTACCAACGATTCTCGTGCAGGGTCTCAGCTGCCCGCCTTTTCTGGCGCATTCACATCTGCCCAGGTCAGGGATGTTTTTGAGACAGAAATGGATAACGAAATTTTTTCAGACAAGGATGGAACAAGCACAATATTCGAAGAGACTGAAAGCCTATCCATTGGTGATGTAATGAGAAGTCCCATCTTCAGCGAAGGCGAATCGTCGGATAACTCTCTTTGGATAGATTTGGGTCAAAGCCCGTTGGGCTCAGTCAGTGGTGGCCATTCAACCGTACCAAACATGGCCTCCCCCGCACCACCATTTTGGTTTGCCAGGAGGAAGAATGATAAGAATCTATCTCCAAAGCCTTCAAAGATATCTTTTGATGCTGCTCTGTGTTCAAAGTCTGAAGAATTACATCATTTCCAGGACATTCAAGAGGGTAACAAGGCTTCTACTTCCAAGTCTCTTCCAAATGGTTCAAAACCTGAGATATGCCATGAGAGTGCAATTAGAAGAGAAACAGAAGGTGAATTCAGGTTGCTAGAAAGGAGGGAAGATGCCTATCAGTCTGGAAGAAAGGGAAGAAGAGTTTCTTTCAGCATTGAAGATAAACACACTCTATTAACAAGCCTTGATGATGATGATGACCACACTTGTAATGGGGAATATGAAGAGCAAGATTCTGGGAGGAGAGAGCCGGAGATAATATGCAAGCATATAGATCATATTAACATGTTGGGTCTTAACAAGACTACCCTTCGGCTACGGTTTCTGGTCAACTGGCTAGTAACCTCACTGCTGCAACTCAGACTTCCCGGGTCAAACGAGGAGGAGAACGCACCACTTGTTCACATCTATGGGCCCAAAATAAAATACGAGAGAGGTGCATCCGTTGCTTTCAATGTGAGGAACTGCAGCGACAGGGGCAGTATTGTCAAACCAGAAACAGTGCAGAAACTGGCTGAGCTGAACGGCATTTATCTCGGCATCGGCATCCTCAGTCACATTCGGGTTCTAGACAGCTCGACACAGAAGCCAATGGATAAGTGCAGACAGAAGAGTGAGAGTGGGTTCATCAGAGTGGAAGTCATCACTGCATCACTTGGCTTTCTGACTAACTTCGAAGACGTGTACAAATTATGGTCTTTTGTTGCAAAGTTTCTCAACCCCGAGTTCATAAACTGAGGCTGCGTCTTGAAAGCTCGAGTCTTTAGCACCGGGTTAGGGATAATTCGTCGATTATTACTTTGGGTTTTTTTTTAGTTTTGGCATTAGATGCATGGCTGGATGCAGAAACATGTAATATATTCAGGTGTTTGTGACTTGCAATAGTCATTAAGTTATAAATAAAAACTAGCTGTGAAGTAAATATTTTGGGTCATAATGATCAATTTAGCATTGTTACCATGATGACTTTGGGTTTCTATATCTTTTTCTTCATTGGACAGAGATTATTAATCTCCACCCCCATTTAACTCATTTGTTAATAATAACAACAATAAGAACAATACAATGGGATGAAGGAGTATTGACAAGCATACTTTATTTAGTTATAATAATAATTGTCCAATGGGCCACAGACATTATGTGTTGATTTCATTCATTGTCCTCCACTGCCATTTTTCCTTTGCCTTTGGTTGGATCTGGTCTATAAGTTGGCAGGGGTCCTCCTCGGACCATCTTTATTCTTTAGGGCTGTATAGATCTAATCACAGCATTAGTATTTTAATTAACACTACCTAAAAAACTTACTTTCAACTTTTAATGATCATTACTGCATTAAAATACTCTTCTTTTTTTTTAATAACCAAAGTCAGTGGTAAAATATGGCGGGTTCAAACAACTCTTTATTTTTTAACTGAAAATATGGAGGATTCAAAGTTCAAACTACTTTCTTTCCTAAATTGTGCCCGAAAACATGGTAAAATACACTTGATGTGTATTTATTGCCTCATAGTTTTCTTAAATTATTCTTGAAAATTATGATACACAATTAGGTGTTAATGGTAATCATATACTCCGCACTTCTGCAGTCCGCATGGATCTTTTTTCATCTTTTCTACTATGTTTGGTTCAAGGAATTTGGTAGGAAAAGAAAAGAAAATGGTTTTCTCTCATTTTTCTCACAAAAAGGAAGGAATTTGGTTTTCCTTTCTTTTAGTACATTTTGCCTTCTCATATTCTTTTCCATCCACTTTTTTTTTTCTTTTCCTTTCTAACCAAACAAAAAAATGTTTTCCTTCTCATTTTCTTTTCCTTTCCCTCTCAAATTCCTTGAACCAAACATAGTGTTCATTTTTTTGTTTTGAGTGTTCATTTTTTTCTTTATTTGTGAAGAAAACATTAATATTAATGAAGCTAAGACCTCTTCATTAATTAATAAGGGTCCGTTTGGTATATGAAATTGACGGAATTGAAATTGAATTGGAATTGAAATTCCATTGGATTCAATTCTATAGAATTGAATTCTACCAACTCCAATTCATTTTTTACACTATCAATTCCAAATCCACCTAATTTTTATACTACCAAACACCAGAATTGGAATTGAAGTCCTCAATTCCAATTACATAATTTGAATTCCGTGTACCAAACGGGGCCTAAGGACAATTGAAACACAAACCTAATCAAGGCAGCGTTCCGTTCAACTTATTTTTTCCGCTTATTATTTATTCTTATTATAATCAGATCAGAGCAGACCAAATTTATATACATACACACAGATCATGTTTTCAACATCAATAGTGAAGTAAACTAATATAGTTTACGGTGTATTTAAATTACTAAAAATTCGACAAATTAACGTAATACGGAAATCTAAAGCATTTGATTTTTAATAGTTATAGATTATAAAATATAATTTGTGTAGATTTTAAATATGTAAATTTCATGTAGTTTTTAAGTATGCAAATTTTATTTTTTTTATTTCTATACCAATATTTAAATAAAATAAATTTAAAAAATATGATATTTTACATCTTTTTGAAATATGATAAGCGTTTAGGAACGAAGGAGGAGGGAGTAGTTTTTTAAAGGTTAGTTCAAATTGTTGCGGTTACAACGTAAACTATTTATTAATGCATTCATTGAACAGCACATGAACCAAATATATCATCATGATTCAAACGACATCTTTACTTAATATCCCAAAGCATTATATTAAGACACAAATTTAAGTACTCCTTTTGAGTTTTGAGCCATTATGGAGTACTACTTTTGAACCATTATGGAGTCACCAAAAGGCATTGAGAGAGGAACAATGGCAAAGAGAAGATCAATGAAAGATAATATCTCCGTTCCAATGTATTACGGAGTAATTAAGTTTGACTTGAAAAAGTCAAACTAGACAAGAGAACATGATAATGTGTGAAAAGTGTTATTTTTTCTTTTAGGGAATCAAAAATAAAAATGAAGATGGAGTAACAAATACTCGATCTCCCCATATTTTAAAGATCTTCTTTTTTACAATTACGGTCTTTCGATAACTTTTATTCCGTATTTGTTTTCATGTTTGCATTGATGTAGTTTTTTAAATATAATTTTTTTATTTTTTATTTCTTTACCAATATACAAATAAAATATTTTAAAAGTCGTGAGATTTTTTACACGTCGATCAAGGAAGAAAATTCTTTAGAGGCGGATAGAGTAATAGGTAACTTATTAGAAGTGCATTATTGTTTCTTTAAATTGTCAACAAAAAAAGGATTTCCATAAATAAATTAAATAAACTTCACATTAGATTCCATTTCCTATTTTTAATACCAAAACGCCCAAGCGAAAGTCAACATCTTTTCTCTGTTTTATTAGTGTGGATAGGTTAGTGCCAGTCGTATCCTTCGACCATTTTCTCCATGGATATATAGGCGCTGGTGATAGGGTCAAACCCAAACGGGAAGAGAGAGAAAGAAAGAGTGAGGTAGTGAGGGAAGAAGATAATCAGTAGATTTATGTGATTCGGCGCTCAACTGCAGTAAATGGGCATTTGATTTCCACTATATTTAATTGCCTTCATGAAAAGCTTGAGAGATAGATTGATCTTCAAACGATAGGAGCTGAGTTCTAAAGCAGGAAATAAAAAAAAAAAAGAGGAAAGCTTTGAGAAGAAATTTCTCTGAACAAATTTCCTGCTACTGCGCCTTTTAGGGATCTGAAAGTTTGTGCTCTTCGAATTATGAGGTTTGACCCTTATTATGTTGCTTTTTTTTTCTTCTTCTTATTGCAGCTTTGTTTGATTTTCTTTCATACCTTTACACTGCTACTGTTTCTTCGAGCTAGAATCGAAGCTCTAGACCCATTGGTGAATTTCTCTTCTTATTTCGTTCTTTTCAGATTGCGGAGTCTCTTGTGTCTGAATCTCCCATAAAGGTCCAATTTTGGAGCTCTACTTGATCTTTATCTATTTTCGGGTATTTGGTTCTTGTATATCAGTGTTTGCGTAAGGCACACGATTCTTGGGTTAAGATCAGGGGGGTGTTCGGTTTTTGAATACAAAGGGCTCTCACTCTGAAGCTTTTAGATTTATTCCCTTTTGCTTTTCTGAAGATTGGGTTTGAAATTGCCCTCTTTTTTCTAGGGTTTTAGTGGGATGATAAGTACACTTTCTACCTGCCTCTGGAGTAGAATTGGAGTTTGCTTCAGGTGTTTGGTGTAATTGAAGGTGTAGAAAAAGAACGCGTTCATGCATCTTTCACTATGGAAGCCAATATCTTTCTGTGCTTCTCTGATCTTGGACAAAAAGGGTAGGAAGAAGAATGGGGCTAACCATTCCACGGAAGAAGTTAGAAACCCATCAATTCTGAGGAAGTTACAAGAGCACAAGCTCAGGGAAGCACTTGAGGAAGCATCTGAAAATGGGTCTCTTTTTAAATCCCAAGGAATGGACTCAGGAGCCATAGGGAACCAGGATGAGAGCTTGGGGAGATCGCGGTCACTCGCTAGACTGCATGCCCAGAAGGAATTCCTCAAAGCCACTGCTCTTGCTGCGGATCGCACATTCGAGTCTGAAGACTCAATTCCAGAACTCCATGAATCCTTCTCCAAGTTCCTCACCATGTACCCTAAATACCAGGCATCAGAGATGATTGACCAGCTGAGGTCAGATGAGTACTCTCACCTTTCTGGGTCCGGTCCCAAGGTATTTCTTGACTACTGTGGATTTGGGCTGTTTTCATTTCTTCAAACTGTTCATTATTGGGATTCATCTACATTTAGTTTGTCTGAGATTACTGCCAATTTGAGTAATCATGCTTTGTATGGGGGCGCTGAGAAAGGCACTGTGGAACATGATATCAAAGCAAGAATTATGGATTACTTGAACATCCCTGAGAGCGAATACGGCTTAGTGTTTACTGTTAGTAGAGGATCAGCTTTTAAATTGCTGGCTGAATCATACCCATTTCAAACAAACAAGAAGTTGTTGACAATGTTTGATCATGAGAGCCAATCTGTCAATTGGATGGCTCAGGCTGCCAGGGAGAAAGGTGCCAAAGTATACAGTGCGTGGTTCAAATGGCCAACCCTCAAGCTCTGTTCAACAGACTTGAGGAAACAAATCTCAAACAAGAAGAGGAGAAAGAAAGACTCGGCTGCTGGTCTTTTTGTTTTTCCTGTCCAATCTAGAGTTACTGGAGCAAAGTACTCTTATCAATGGATGGCTTTGGCGCAGCAGAACAATTGGCATGTCCTGCTTGATGCCGGTGCGCTGGGTCCCAAAGACATGGATTCCCTAGGGCTGTCTTTGTTTCGACCAGATTTCATCATCACGTCCTTTTATAGAGTATTTGGATATGACCCAACAGGTTTTGGATGTCTTCTCATAAAAAAATCTGTGATGTCAAGCCTTCAAAATCCATCTGGCCATGCCGGATCTGGTCTAGTGAAAATCACTCCGGTTTTCCCCTTATATCTGAGTGATTCAGTAGATGGCTTCCCTGGATTGGCCGAAGATGGTGAAGCAGGAGGGGATGGTAATGAGGTTATCACGGAATCTTGGCCAGCATCACAGCTTCCTGCGTTTTCTGGTGCCTTCACAGCTGCCCAGGTCAGGGATGTTTTTGAGACAGATATGGAGCATGAGAACTTCTCAGACAGGGATGGAACAAGCACAATATTCGAAGAGACAGAAATCCTATCTATCGGCGAGGTAATGAGAAGTCCTGTCTTTAGTGAAGATGAATCATCTGATAATTCTCTGTGGATAGATTTGGGTCATAGCCCATTGAGTTCTGACAGTGCTGGTCGTTCATACCACCAAAAGACATCCTCTCCAGCACCACCTTTTTGGTTCTCCGGCAGGAAGAATGATAAGCATCTGTCTCCTAAACCTACAAAGATATTGAACAGCCCAATATATGACAAGGAGTTGTCATTTGATGCAGCTGTGCGCTCGGTGTCTCAAGAGTTTGACCATTTCCAGGATATTCCCGAAGAAGAACAGTTCATCGAAGGAATTTTTCCATCAAGAGAATATGTTAATGAGATAGAAGAAGAAATGGAATCCAGAAGTCCTGGGAATGGTCTTAACAACATGGCTTCATCTTCCAAGCGCCTTCCAAATGGTTCAACGTCTGAGATATGTCGCGAGATTAAAGACAGTGCAATAAGAAGAGAGACAGAGGGTGAATTCAGATTGCTGGAGAGGAGGGAAGGGAGCAGGTATGGTGGTGGCAGATTTTTTGGCATAGATGAAGCTAGTCAGGTGCCTAGGAGCAGGGGAAGGAGGGTTTCCTTCACCATGGAAGATAGCTACAGGGATCATCTAAGCCAGCCTGGGGAGAGTAGTCTAGATGATGATGAGTTCCCAAGTAATGGGGAATATGATGGGCAAGAATCAGACAGGAGAGAACCTGAGATTATTCTGAAGCATCTGGATCATATTAACATGTTGGGTCTCAACAAAACTACTATTCGGCTACGGTTTCTGGTCAATTGGCTTGTGACCTCATTGCTGCAATTAAAGGTTTCTGGCTCAAATGGTGAGGACAGTGTCTCCCTTGTTCACATTTATGGGCCCAAAATAAAATATGAGCGAGGGGCATCTGTTGCATTCAATGTGAGAAACAGCAGCAATAGGGGTAGTATTGTAAAACCAGAAATTGTGCAGAAACTGGCTGAGTTGCACTGTATTTATCTTGGGATTGGCATCCTCAGTCATATTCGGATTTTAGATGGTTCAAAACAGCAGCGCAGATCATCTAATCTCGAAGACACTGGAATGTGCAAGCCAATGGATAATGGCAGACAGCATGGCAAAACTGGATTCGTTAGAGTCGAAGTCCTCACTGCATCACTTGGTTTTTTGACTAACTTTGAAGATGTGTACAAATTGTGGGCATTCGTCGCTAAATTTCTGAACCCAGAATTTATCAACCAGAGTCTCCTCCAAACGGTTGCAGAAGAGGCTGAGGAGGATTGATGGTTCAAGCCAAAAGAGAATTGAAGATTCAAGTCAGATTCTTAGCCCCTCTCTTCTTCTTGGACTCATGTAGGATTATTTGTTGATTCTTGTTTTAACTTGCTCAAGTTTTTTTCTTTTAAGTTCTGGTTTTTTGGTATTTTGATGTGGAGTTGGATTTAGAAATTAAATCTGTATTATCTCTAGGTAGTGATGATGAACTAAAGCATTTACTACAAAATGTTCTTAGTATCCTCTGCATTTTGTTACCCGAGTATTTATCAGTATCTTCTTTAAATATTGTCATCTTGAACTGCTCTATATTACGTACGGAGTATATGTCTTCGTTTCTTCTTGCTTCAATCTGATGATTCAACAAATTATTTCTGGGGTTGTTTTTCAAGAACTTGTAGAATTCATGACAGAGTTGCAACATTCATTCCCCAGAGCCAGCAAGAGCTACTTTCATTCAAATCAACACATCAAAAGTACACCAAAATGATAAATAGGCCAATCTAATAATAGAAACACAAGAGAGTTAAAATCTCAGTAAATCCAAAACAAGGCAAATCCCAGTTCATGGCCTATTCTTGCTTGATCAACCAACTTGCTTACTAACATTTGGGGAGCTTCTTGACCAACAGTCTCATAGTTCCATGGCTGTTGGGATTCAGCAAGGTGAAGGAACACTTGTCTCCAACTTGTATGTTGTTTGCGCTCCTGAAGGCCCCCCACCCTTTCACCAAAAGGACCCTATTATTATTCACCCTGTGAATCTCCACTTTCTCGCGACTCCTGTTTTCGCTGCTCATCATCTTTATCACCTTCTCATGAATGATTCCCGTCTCGCGTGCAAACCCCATTGGAACAAACTAATAAAATGAAGAAACGGAGCAATCAAATCATCTTAGAATAGATGAAGTAAACAACACTGATATTAACAACCAAGGGCTGCCTTAAAATCACATCACATTACCAATTAGTAACACAATCACTGAATTAGAGGGCAGTACATACTATGGACTCTTTGTGGCTCTTCTTCACAACGATTTCGAAGTAGGGAAATTTTGCAGTGAGATTGACATTACTGAACCTCTTCATCTGAAACCCTTCTTCCATTTCACTCTCAGTACTCTCAGTCTTAACTTGTATCCCTTTTCCTGAAAATGAATGACATCTCCTAGATTTCTTGAAAACATTTGAAGAACAAAAACAGGTATAAGTTGAAACAACACATAGGTAATTACCTGAGGCTAGTTTTGACCTTTTGCTAGATCCAGATCCAGATGCATGTGCATAATTACAAGATGACTTCCTCTTGGATCTCCTTCCCTCTCTTGGGGCTTTAATGATCTTCTCATCATCATCATCATCATCAGATGATGATGATGTGAATGCATCATGATCTGCTTTGGCAGTTTTATTGGCGGGTGGACTTACGATACGGCAAGAAGTTGTTTGGCTAAAGATCATGACTTCAAACTCAGAAATTCCTACAAGGAAAAACACTATAATGTCACCAAATCGAAGGTTGCGATCTCTTGCAAATCCTTCCCAATCCCTTTGGCAGAAGAAGGAATCCGTTCCATGTCTCTCAATCTTCACTCTCCTCAGCCCTCCATCTTCTGTCTTCAGTGCCCATGAACTCTGGAACAGCTTTTCCTCATGCGCTTCCACGAATGCACGAGGAACAAGCTGCTCCCAATCAACCACAAATAAATATATATAATGAATGAGAGATTGCCTTGGTTATAATAATTCACCCAACTCAATTAGTACATCAAAAGAAGTTATAATGATTCATGTGGAACCACTTACAGTTCTTTCACAGGAAAAGGATGATTCTCCTAAGTAGATCTTGAAGAAGGAGGGACAACCATGGGAACCAACCTTCAAATTTGTTCCTTTTGAAGAACTTCTTGAACCTCTCATGATTCTTCTTCTGGTTAATTTTTCTTAGGCAAGGAAAATGAATTGATGGATTTATAGAAGGGTAATGGTCTTCAGATAATCCCAAGATCACTAGCCACAAAAAGGAAAGTAGAAGAAGAATGAAGAAGAGTTGCAGGGAGAATGAGGGTATATGTTTGTTGGAAGCTGGAAATCTTAACAGAGATTTTCTGCAGACTTCATCATCATTTGTCATCTCTGCTTTGGGCTTTGAGTTTATGCATGCACTCTCTTGGGATATTATAGGCCGGACATCACATCTGGAAAGCTTAATTAAATGAGTACACAAATTAAAATGGGGAAAATTGGAAAATCATATATGCATCACAGGAGTATAGAAATTTTCATCACACATTTTTTTTATATTTTTTAATCCTATTGAAAATTGTGCGGCGTAGACTAGAGTGTGTTTATGGAGCGTGAGGAGGGGCTTGACCACCTGACCACCGTCATTTACGCTCCGCAATCCATTACATGCTTAAGGTGAAAGGGCGTTCTCCCAATTCATGTGATAGTCATCGCTCCGTGACGAGCTCTTCTCCCTTCCATTTTTTTAAGATTTCAACCAATCAAAATTTAGCACGTATCCATATCTCATCACTTTTCTTCACATCCACTGTAACACACATATTTTATCAGTATCGTCAAACCACATCAAGTCTTGTCAAGCCCCTCCATTACATACTCCCTCCGTCCCTATTTTTATTTCAATTTTTTTATCTCTCCTCTCGATAACTTTTGTTTATTTACGCGATTTCATTAAGTATTTGATAAAATAAAATATTCTTGTCATATCTTGTTTTGTAGAACTTTTGACGTAATTTTTCAATATGTAATTTATATATCTTATTGATATATCAATTTGTAAATAAAATGATTTCAAAAAGTAGGAAATTTCACTTTGTAACCCGCAATATTGTATCATGTACTCTATCACTCAATGATCAATATTACGGAGTACTCCGTATTATTTTAATATTTCAACACGATATCAAAATTTAAAAATACTCCATAATAATGAAGGACTGGGGTACACCAAATGACATACCCCAATTCTATACTAAAACTTTTACAGACACAGACACTCAATTTTTCTGTGCACAAACATTGAGTGTCTGTGTGTGTCTATAAAAACTTTGTTAAACATTGTATAAATCGGATACATTTTTTGGTGAATCGAATATATTTTTTGGTGTATCCCTAACATATCCATTTCAAAAATCCTTAATACGGATAAGTCCGTACTCCGTAACGTAGAAACTAGAAAGGATGACGTGCGGGACTGGGCCGGGCCAAGTCGCCCTCAGTTTGGACCCGAAACTGCTAGCAGTCGCCCGCTGTCTTTGGGTCACCCACAGAAAAACCAGCAAACCAAACATTTCACTCTTTCTCTACTCTCCCCTCCCCAAAATTCTTATTTATTCTGCATGTTCGCCACACGTCACACACCAATTTCATTCTCCAATTCTTTTGTTTTTTAGATTTTTTCTCATAAAGAAAAAAGCCCAGTAAAAATGTCCTCCATTTCCAAGACTCGCCCTTCTTCTTCTGGTCTCCCGCCGGATTATCAAGAAAGCATAGCAGTGGAAAAAACTCCGTCAGTGACCAACCATCTCTATCTGGCCAACTCTTCGTCGGCGCTCGACAGAGATGCTGTTCTCAGGCGGATCCGCCACCACAAGCGCATGGAGAGGGCTCGCAGAAACCTGCAGGCGGTGTTTGGGAATCCCTCTCCGCCGCCGCCGCCGCCGCCGCCGCCACCCGCGGTGAATAGTATTGACAAGTGGGTGCAGCTTTGTGACGTTTTCTGGTCTCCATAGTTGAGAGAATCTAAGTGGATGGGGCGTTTGAATGTTTGATATGATCGATATGTATGGTGGAATTGATGAGGAGTCAAATTGTATATATATGTCCAGATCTGCTTGTGGGATAATCTTGTCATTGTTCACTTAATTAAGTCTCATTTTGCAATGGATTTTCATTACTGCTTTTGTTGATTTGATATGGGAATTTACTTAGTATTAAAACATACTCCGTAGTTATTTACCAATATAGAATTCTCTCGTTTTTTGACAATTGCATCGTTTTTTTATGCAACCGATTCAAAAGGGGCAGACCATTTGCTCGTTTTCGTAATAGTCTTGCTAACTCAAGTATGGGAGTTTTGGTTATTTGAACGTGACGGAGTTTTTCGGGCAGCCATTAATGGCAGGCTTAGATGTGGGACAAGTCCTTTATTAGCACAAGCTATGGTGATCTATGAAGTTTTATCATGGCTATAAGAAAAATCTATTTCAAACTTGACTGGGTATTCTAATTGTCTTCGAGTGCATCCTTATCATACTTTGGAGTTGTGACTATTGATTGCACGATGCTTCTACAATCTTTGCGTTCAGTTTTGATATGCTTTGGTAATTGCTCTTGTAACGAAGTGGCTCATGTTTTAGCTAGAGATATTGAGAGGGTGTTTGACAGGCCATCTTCTGCTTTTCACTGCAACTATTTTGTACACAGAACACCGTTTCGGAGAAGCATGTATGAGGTGCTTTTGCTTTCAGCTTTTGTAGAAATCACTTTATCTAAAAGTTAATCACTTCCAAACAAGCTCTGATTCTAGTATCCGGATGTGAGATTTTAGTCCCCCAAATTTAATTGTACCATTCTTGTTTCGTCAATTTTATTCTACTTTATTTCAAAAAAAATTGCAACCCCCTTTTTGAAACTGATCTTACTAAATACAATCATACAAATATATACAGTATATATATGTGTCAACAAACTAACTTGTAATTTCTTTTAAAAACTGATCCTACTAACACAAAGCTATGTGTCATAGATTTCGAGAAATAGAAAAGACTAAAGTAAAAATAAAATATTTAAAATATACCAAAATAAAAGTTTAATGTTTCTATTTCCGAAATGGGAGTTAAAATATATTTATATTATATTACATAATCAAGAAGTATAGTAAAACGTTCATGTACATTACCATAATACAAACTCCTGTTTAGGAAATAAAAATATAAAATTTCTATTTTGATATTTTTTCTATATTTTACCTGTATTTATGATAATTTTTTTGTTGAGAAATTATTATGTAAAATAAGTCTATTATGAAATTTTGCAATTGCTAGGGCTAGAAAACCAAATTAATGAGTGAAGAAGAGGAGATCACACGTATTAATATATACAATGGGGGCAATAGCTCCCAATGAACTCTATTTTTTTAATAGTATCCCAATTTTTTTTAAAAAAATATTTATGCCCCCATCAAACAAAGTGAAATGCTCCTAATAAAAATAAATTTTAATTATAAAATCAAATATCTACCATTAAAGTAATGAATTATTCCGTAAAATGTAATTGAGTCAAAAATAAAAATTATTAAGAGCAACTAAAAATCGAGGAAGTGTTTTCGAGATTTTTCGTTAATTCTTTAATGTTTAATTGAGTCGAAATGAATTTGTTTTGTTAATTTGACTTAGCTTTTTTAAAAAATGTTTTATTACACAATGTCCACAATGTAACCCGTAGTAGTCTTGCCCCCGGTCCTTGCCTGGATCCGCCAATGAATGAGCTGTTATGGATCAAGTACACCAAGGGACAATCACGCTTCGACGAGGTAGTAGGACGAGGCACGCACCGCACTAGCAACGGGAGTTCGATATGATAGTTTTTTAAATAGCTATGTTTTTAGTAGTTGACCTCCTCTTCAACGAGGCACGACGAAGTAGTAGGACGAAAAGCATCCCATGTTTTTAGGACCCTAGAAAGTATTATATACTTTCATCTGTTCAAAAGTTAACTTTTTATTCACTATTTAAATGATCAAATTTTATTTATTTTATATATTTAATAAAATAATATAGTCAAGGCACATCTAATTTTATAAATATTTGTATATAATTTTCTACTGAATAATATTTACAATTAATTTTTAATTTATAAACCGACTAGAACAAATATCATAACGTCCAATTGTCCAACCATGCTTGTTATATGGATTTGCTATTTTTACATTATAGCAAGTGAATAATGATATATCAAGCACTTTATTGTTTCATTCTCCAACCATAATTTGCTATTTACTTTTTAAGTATTGGTTTGCTAAAATTTGAGGAGCTTGTTATTTTTAGCAAGCCAAAGTTATTTTTTGGCAAACTTGCTAAAATAAAGCATAACCTTTGGAGAAGAACAAAAAGATTTGCCTAGCTATATTATACTCCCTCCGTCCCCCCCCCCAAGAGTCCTTTTTCTTTGTCCACAATAGATCTTCTCATTTCATTTTTTAACAATTAAAATACCACAACTACCCCCACTTACTTTATTTATTACACCTCACCCACCTCATTTAATACACTCCACCCATTTTTCATTAAGGGTATTATGGTAAACTTTTACCTTTTTTCAACTCTGCTTAAAAACCACCAAAAGTCAAAATGAGAACATTTTAGGGGGACGGAGGGAGTAACTTTTATCAAACTAAAATGATATGGTTGAAGATAACTTTTGACTATAGAGATGTCCCAAGAAAATCGTTAAAAAATGGTGAAGAAAAAGGGAAGGATATAAATGTAATTACATTGACGAAAACGGATAAAAGATGCGGTCTTCCCCGGTCTTCTATCGCGAACTGTGACTTGCAAACCCAGAAAATAAGCCGGCAGGCATTTCAAGATCGTCGGCTTTCTCTCTTTCATCATCCTTTTATACGATTAAAACTCCAGGAAATCCCAACATGTTTTGCAAGGTTCTTGATCTGAGTAAATTTTTTCACAGAGCAAATTTTTGAAGAAATTAATGCTGCAAGTAGCTCAACCACTTCGAGAACGAGAGGGAACTGCAGGGGATGGCGAGAGTAAATGAGTGGTGATCAAGTATAAGGTATTACTCTAATGGCGGAAAACAGAGTTGCAGCATTTATTATTGGAAAAACATGGCCTTCCCACCAATATCAACTGTACCCCTTTATTTCATATGCATTAATGGCGGCTTCCCAAGTCAAAATCCTTTTTTTTTCATTTTGTGTTATAGCCCAACAGCTTTAATCGCAGAAATCTGATGGTTGATTGTTTTGTTCTTGAACAGAATTATGGGATTTTACCAGACAATCGTCGGACTGTTTTTCTTGAATCTGGTGGTTTTAAAATGCGTTGCTGGGGATGACGAGAAGAAATGCAATCGTTCTTGCGGAAGGGGTTGGGGTAAAGATCTCCCTTACCCGTTTGGATTCTCCGATGGTTGTGGGATCCGTTTGGATTGCGACAATGGGGATGTCAAAATTGGGGAATTTAAGGTCCGGAATCTGACTGCTGATAGTATACTGGTCGGACTTCCGGCGAGCTGCGGCCGCGGGATCGAAAAGGTTCTCCCCCTTAACGGCGGAAACTTCTGGATGTCACGGCGGAACGCCTTTCTGCTCGAGAACTGTAGCCGGCCGTTGCCGGAGTGCAAGGCGCTTACGAGGTTGACTGGGTTGCGGCGATGTGTTAATAGGAACGACACCGTGGGCTGTTACTCGGAGCTGGGAGAAAAAGGCGGGAGCTTCTTGAACTACGACGGGCTGAAGAGTTCGAACTGCAGCGTTGTGTTTTCCTCGATCGCCGCCGGAGGTAATGACACTGTACAGAGCTCCGCCTTGTCGCTGGAGCTTCAGACGGTGGAGCTGGTGTGGTGGTTGGACGGGAGCTGCAACTGTCATCCTGACGGACAATGCTCTCCGGTTGAACTTCCAAACCGAAGAAAGGGGTTCAGGTGCTCGTGTAAGGATGGTTTCGTCGGAGATGGCTTCGCCAATGGTGATGGTTGCCGGCAAGGTTTGATCTTTTAGCCACATTTATTTACTGTATTTATTTTCATTATTATTTCTTGATTTTCGTATTCTATACTTGTTGAATTTGAGTAAAGACCTATTTGAGAATAACATTAGAATTAGTGCAAACGTTTAGAAAATTTTTTTTGCAGACAACGTTTAGTGTTATCTTTAAATTAATTTGCACCGTTAAATTTTATCTAAAATACTAACACTAATCGAAAACGTTAAATAACCGGCCCTAGATCTACTAGATGTTTAACATGCAACAAATAGTGGTTGAGTTTGGACTTGGTATTAATTAGGGTTAGTACCATTGTTAATTTGAAAATTAAGCAGTGAAAACAGTAGGATTGGTCAAAGCTTTGATTGTAGATTGATTCCTAGTCTTTAACTTTTACAAATTAATCATTTTAAGAAGATTGAAGAAGAAAACTGCGAAAAGTTGTGGTATAGTACGGAGTATTACTATTTTATTGTCTTGAATTGGTCAAAGTGAGACATTTTGAACCTAATACGATACACATGGGGTTCAAAACATGGGGTTAAACATGGGGCGTCAAAACGTGGTTGTGAAACACAACCACATTTTGATTAAAAACAATTTACGTGGTTGTAAACACAGGCACACTTAAAAATAATTGCGTGGTTGTGAACACAGCCACATTTGGTAGCTTTACAAACACGTTTGGACACCACATGTTTACCGGTATATTTTTTAGTGTAAGTGTAGCATGGTCTCATTTTGAATGATTGAAAATTAAAGCCAAACAATGCAACGTGTAAAGGAAAGCGATGCACTATCTTCAAAATTAAATACTCCCTCCGTCCCTGAGTATTTGTTCACTTTCATTTTTACACACCATTCAATGCACTTCTTTAATTCATTTTATCGTGTAATTCGTTTATTAAAAAATTATAAAAATTATATATTAATAATATATATGTTAAGACGAATCAAACAAGATCACACATGACTATTTTTAGGCTTACACATTGAGAGAATTTGATGAGTCAAAGTGCTTAAATGAACAGATCCAAAAGTCAAAAGTGGACAAACACTCAGGGAGGAACCAAGTAATCCGTAGTTTTCTTTTAATAAATTAAATCTTATCAAACGAACTAATCTACGAGGGGATTAACCAAACAATGGGCTTCTAGTAAAAACTGTAAAGAATAATTTTCGCCGGTGCATTGCGCAGTTGTCCAACGCAAAAAGTGTCAAAAGTATATGACCCGACTTCAACAACGGTTATAGGAAGCAAATATGTTAAGCATAGGGTCTCTATAAATACCAGTGGCAGACTCGATTTTTAGCCACAAATATTCGATCCAAGTCCAATTCATCCTCTTCTTAGAACCCGTCCGATCGAGTCTGAGGGACTCTCAGAGATGGACTCATCCTTTTTTTTGTAAAGAATAACTTTCATGCCACTGTCTTTTTCATATTTTTACTTACTAACTATTGCATCTTTTCATATCAATCCATTGCCGTTCCCCCAGCTTCTTCTAGTTGCAATGCTTCCAAGTACATGTCCGGTAACTGCGGCGGAACAAGAGTCGGCATTCTCATCGCCGGTAACAAATTCTTCTAATAAACTAAGACTAATAACTAATAAGTCGTCGTAGGATGTTATTAAGTCCTCCTGCCCATTTTACCAAATGTTCATTTTGAACTAATAACGTCCTAAGAAATCCACATGTTGGTGCAGGATTTGTGTCTGGAGCGTCCTTGACATGTATAATTGTCCTGGCATACTACTGCACCCGAATGCGATCCGCGTCCCTAAAGAAACGTGTGAGCGCAAAGCGGCTCTCAGAAGCCGCGGGCTGTTGCTCCAGCGTCCGCTTATACCCCTACAAAGAGCTCGAGCGGGCCACAAATGGTTTCTCGGACGCAATGCGTCTAGGGACGGGGGCCTATGGCACGGTCTATGCCGGGAAGCTTTATAATCATGAACTGGTTGCTATAAAGAGACTGAGACACCAAGACCCTGATGGGGTGGAGCAAGTCATGAATGAGATCAAGCTTTTGTCGTCGGTTAGCCACCCGAACCTCGTCCGCCTCCTTGGTTGTTGTCTTGAGCACGAGGAGCAGATCCTCGTGTACGAGTACATGCCGAACGGGACCCTGTCGCAGCACCTGCAGAGGGAGCACCGTTCCGGCCTCCCGTGGATCATCCGCCTCACGATAGCGGCGGAAACGGCCCGAGCGGTTGCCCATCTTCACTCGTCGATGACCCCGCCGATATACCATCGGGACATCAAGTCGAGCAACATTCTCTTGGATTTCAACTACAGGTCGAAGATCGCCGACTTCGGGCTCTCGAGGTTCGCAATGACGGACGACTCCCACATCTCGACAGCCCCGCAGGGGACGCCCGGGTACCTGGACCCGCAGTACCACCAGAACTACCACCTCTCAGACAAGAGCGACGTGTACAGCTTCGGGGTGGTTCTGGTGGAGATCATAACGGCTATGAAAGTCGTCGACTTCACCCGCCCCAACACCGAGATCAACTTGGCCGCGCTGGCGGTAGACAGGATCGGGAAGGGGCGAGTGGACGAGATAATCGACCCGTACTTGGAGCCGAATAGGGATGCGTGGACGCTTTCTTCCATACACAGGGTAGCCGAACTGGCGTTCAGGTGCCTGGCTTTCCACAAGGACATGAGGCCTTCGATGACGGAAGTGGCGGAGGAGTTGGATCAAATGAGAGGCGGTGGCTTGGAACCGGCGGAGGCCTCCGGGGCAGAGAACGGGTGCGCCATGACGACATCGTCGTCTTGCTCGTCTCGGCACAACGGCAGCGAGAGATCGTTCTGCAGTTCTTCGAATAAGAGAGTAATAGTAATGAAGGAGAGGTCTCCGGTGTCGGTGCGGGAGCCGTGGTCGGGTGAGCAAAGCTCTCCCACGACCGATACCTTGCTGGGTAGTAACGCAGTTGGACGAGCGTGAAATTGTTCTGTGTTTGTGAATGTGTACGTAAGAAGAATGATGTCAAAAGTGGGGATACCAATCTTTATTTATAGCTAGCGAGCATGTATGTATATGTGTGTATATATGATCGCCAGGCCAAAGTCTTGCGAGTTCAAATCTTCTGGACTTAAAAATTGATGTGGATGAATGCCAAATTAGCGATTGCATATATGTGGGTGCTTATCAGGAACCACCATCCACCAATGTTCCCATTGATGTTGCTTCCCTTCTTTTTTACTCGGCTCATGTTCTAGCTAGTTTTTTCGAAGAGTAAAATTATATACATACAAATAATGCAAAGAAGAAGAAAAAATTACGGAGTATATGTCACAAAAATTTTTCTAAAAGTGGAAAATGGATCTTTTTTTAGACGGATGACAAACTAAAGAATTTAAAAAAAAAAATCTGAAAGTGGATAACTTGTGAGGTTGGGAGGGTAGTTTGCATCCAACAAACCTCCCTTCAAACTAACGATCATACAACTCGTTACCTCCTCTTCAACGATTGTCCATTTGATCTACCACCATCTTGCACTACCCCTACACTACACCTACGGGACACACTGTCCGACCTTCTCATATCAGAAAGACTTTTGAGTTTTGACACAAGGAATACCGCAGACCACCAATCCGCTAAGGTCACACCATTTGGTCTGCCAAATCATCTTGTACCATAGTTACACGCTGCCCGACCACCACTTGCAAGAAAGACTTTCGACACAAGACATCGCCCGCACACCTTTTGTCATGTTGTCACACCGGACACACCGAGAACTCCGCACAACGCAGTTTGCTACTCATGCCCGCACGAAACTAGGCTTTGATACCACATGTTGGGACACCGCTTGTCCTCACCAAATCCCGCAATAGTATGATATTGTCCACTCTGGGAGGTCGAAAGTTGTGTGGTCCTTGGTTGAGGGGAGGTTTGTTGAGATTACTCCAAGTCCCACACTAGAAGTTTAGGAGTAAATAAGCCAAATATATAGGTTCACCCAACCCCATTAGTATGAGGTCTTATGAGAGGTGTCCAAAAACAAATTCAGGAAGGCTTGATCTAGAGCGGACAATATCATACTAATGTGAGGTTGGGATGAAGGCACAAGCGATCTCAACACATTATTCAAATTAAATATCCACTTTCAATGTACATTGTTCTCATCTCTAAATATTATTTAAGTACTATTTAGAGAACACAAAATTTAATAAATATATTGAAAAATATTTATGAAGTTTGAAAATTATTGAAAACACCTATTAATTGATAGGATGGTGGCATAGGTAATTTTTTTCACGAGTAATGTGTGACACACAATGCAAATGTTGTACTCCGTAGCAAAAAATGATAGGTTTGGAAATGAAAGGCAAAACTAGAAAACGTGGGCGTACAAAGTTACGTGATATTTTGAAAAAATTGTGATTGCAAATAGAAGGTTGAACGGGCAATCTGGGAGGGCCAGGCATAACAAACTGTCGCGAAATTCAAGGGCAGCAACGACGTCTCGCACGTGGCATAGTGGGAAGCTTGCCACGTCATGATAAGGAATTGCCAATTCCGTCGTCGTCTTATTCTACGGTATAAATTTTGTGGCCGGCAACTGCACTCCGTAGTGAAACTCTATCAGATCTGAGAAGAAGAGAGAAGAACAATGGGGAGAATCGATTACTTGGCTATGAAGACGGATCAAGTCGCCGCCGACGAACTCATCAATGCGGACCTCCGGGAACTCAAGGCCGCCGCCCGCAACCTCTTCGACCACGCCACCAAGCTCGGCGGCCTTGGCTTCGGCACTTCCTTTCTTAAATGGGTCGCCTCCTTTGCCGCCATGTACCAAACTTAATTCTCTCTCTCTTTTTAGGGTTTCAAATTCATCTAATTCCTTCACAAATCTGCAAAATTCTTCGTTCACCCGATCTATTCCAGATTCGAATCCTCTTATTTGAGTACTAGATTTAGTGATTTTGATTTTTGAAGATCATATGGATTCATCCTCTTTATTTTTGTGTACAGTTATTTGCTCATTCTGGACCGTACAAACTGGAAAACGAACATGCTTACTGCTCTTCTAATCCCCTATATTTTCCTAAGTCTTCCTCATGTGATATTCCACTTCTTAAGGTAAAGCATAATCTCAATTAACCTCCTTCTGCGCAATTGAATCGCTTCTTCTTTGTTGATCAGAGTGAATTAATTATTATTGAAGCACTTTGTTCTAATGTATAGGGGAGAAGTTGGGAAATGGATTGCTTTGATAGCGGTCGTGCTGAGGCTATTCTTCCCGCGGCATTTCCCAGGTTTGTGAATCTCAGTTCATTCTTTTCTACATTTATCTGCCTGTAGATCAGATGTGTATTCATGTGAACTTCAAATCTCAAAGTCCAGAAGTTCCTCAGTTGGTGTTTTCTAGATTCTCATTGATGTTGGACCTAACTCAATTCTATAAAAAGCTCTTCTTGGAGGTTTCATTCATCCATATTCATTGATGATGTGAAATAACAACTCAAACAAGTTTCCATGGGCATGTTAATGGACAATCTTATCATGTTCATATCCCCAAATTGATATGCCTTTTGGGGGTGTGAGAGAAGGCTCTCATTACTTTCATTCATTCTGACCCAAATGGCCTAATTCCCTGTGGAATGGTACTGCATTTGTGCCTTTGTTGCGCTAAATGCTTCTTCAACATTAATCTTGTTGATTGCGAATTGCAGATTGGTTGGAAATGCCCGGTTCGCTCATCTTACTCCTAGTGGTTTCTCCGAACTTCTTCGCGGAAACCATAAGAGACAGCTGGTTTGGGACGGCGATATGTCTTGTGATCGGGTGTTATCTGCTCCAAGAACACATCAGAGCATCCGGCGGATTCCGGAATTCCTTCACCCAAAGCCACGGGATATCAAACACAGTAGGCATCATCCTCTTGCTCGTCTATCCCATCTGGGCTTTGGTTCTTCACTTTGTTCACTAAATATGTACCCTCCGTATTTTTTTTTTAAAATAAAGATTTGGTAATCTACTTTATGAAATTTCATCATCATGTTTCCAGAATACTTTAGGCAGTCAACGCCGTATCTTGTACTGTATACTATATATTCGTCCCAAGACTATTCAAAAAGATTGTTTTTCTTTCTATATCTTTTTCTTTTTAAGGAAAAGGAGTATTATGCAGTACTAACTCGTATTAGCTATGTCTTGAAGGACAGGGTACCCTAAAAATTGTGCATTACTATTTTTTTGGGTACTTCACCGGCACAATATGCCTATGCGAGTATACGACACATAACCATAACACTAATTTTGTTTGTGAAGTACACTAATTTTGCAATGTGTTTTCTTAAATTACTTCTCAAATAGAGCTAATAAGACATTCTTAATGTTAGATTAGATAATAGGAAGTTCCTAATATCGAAAGATGGGAAATGAAATTTGAGTTTCAAGTTTCAACGAACTCAATCACCCAATAAGAGGGTACCACTGCACGAAAGTATATATAGAGAGTATTAAAATACTCTCTTATTGACAAATCATAAAAGAAAAATAAAGAGAAAATGATGAGAGAAAAATTTAGCCATTGTTTGGATAAAAATAGAAAATGAGTGGAAACTGGAAAGAAAATGAATAGAAAGAAAATAGAGAGGAAAGAAAATGAAGAGGAAATGGGAAGGAGATTATTGTTGTTTGGGTGAGTGGAAAATGAAGTAATAATGTAAAAGGAAAGAGAAGGTGATAAAGCAAAAAAAGACAATTTCGCCCTTGCTTTTTATTATAGAAAAAATATATACGGAGGATATAATTATATATGATGGAATGAAGGGTAAAACTATCAATTCACGCGGTCTCTTCAATGGGCGGATTTTCTCACCACTTGAGCGGAGAAATTTTTTTAGGTTGGCGCCTTTGACAATTTCTTTTGTTCCCCCATTTTCTTCCCTAAACAAACAAGTGAAATTTTATTGGAAATTGTGTTTTCTTCCCTTCCGTTTTCTTTTTCTCTAAAATTACCTCATCCAAACATGGTCTTAGTGTTTGGATTGTTAAAATTTTATAAGAGAATCGTGTGAAAATGGTGAGAGAAAAAAGATGCCATTTTCTCACCTATATTGGAGAGAGACCTTTTCATATGTAGTTTTTTTCTCTTACCTTATTTTCTCTTCAAACCAAACAATAGAAAATGCTTTAAATATGTGTTTTCTTACATTGTATTTTCTTTCCTTCCTTTTCTGATCATCTAAACAATGTATTAGTGTAATTTTTACTAGTACAATTTTTTTTATTTTACATCAACTATTGAATAAATTAAATTACTCCGTAATAAAAATCTACTTATAATAAAATGTGAAATTTTTACCAAAATAAATTTTACTATATATTTTATTCATTTTCACTATCAAAATCACGAAATTGTGTTATATGAATCAGTATTTGTTATCATTATATGTTGACATTAATAGTTTTTTTATGTTGACATTATCAGTATCTCGAGTAAAAAATATTTTTTAAAAAAAATTTACTCCAAAACAAATGTACCAAAAAATAGTGTTTTTTTTTTTAATTTCATGGGAGAGGATGGAAAACTCATATTGGGCTAAACAACGAAATTGAGGCAGGAATCGGTCCATACGGGCTAAACTATAAAGCCCAACTAACCAAAACCCTACAACTGAAAGTCAACACTTGCGGCTATAAGTTGTAGAGCACTTCACCCGATCATCTTCCTTCCCTTTTCTCTGCAAGTAGATCCATCATTTTTTTTCATATCAATACTTCTCCATATTATTATGGTTATAATTATTAATTTATTAATTAATTATTACTCAATAATCCATCTTTATTGTTGTTTTTGATTGATTCTTCTTTCTACTCTGTATTATTTTCATGACTTTCAAAGAACCCATCAAATCATTTCGTGATGAGTGATTTGTAGTATGATGATCTTTGTTGCTGTTTACTGCAAATTAACTTTTGACTTTTCACATCAGATTGCGTGATTTTACTTGTTTAGAAGGGGATGGTAAATGATGAGGAAGTGGCAATGATGAGAAATATTAATACATTTTGATTTGATTGAGGAGCTTTTCTCATGATTCTCTTTTCAAGCACTTTTGAGCCACTCTCTTTTTACCTCTTTTATTCATATCCTTTTCTGAATCCCTAAATTAACTATGAGGGGTAACTTGTTTTTAGTTTTTTGTACAAATTCAGGTCGTGCTTTGTCTTGTGGTTTTGAAATTGGGCGTTTACTTTGATCCATCATTCTATTCACGTCGTGCTTTACTAAGGAATAATTTACTTTGTCTATTTTTTGACTTTTTTTGATCAAAATGGATAAATTTGATCTCAGAATGAAAATAACATTGATACAAAAATAGTTTGTTAGATTTATTATATAAAATATTTTTAAAATATTATTTAGGCATGACTGGGTAATCATTAATCATTCATTCATGAGGGTGATTGGTTACCACGTATTTCATCTTGTTAATTGTATAAATTAGGAGAAACTCCAAACTCTATGTAAAAATGCGAGCTTAATCGAACTATAAAACAACCAGAATATAGTTTTTGGAGTTCTTATTTCTGTTTTATTGTTATTTGTACCTCTGTAGTCGGTGGATTAAATTTATTAGTGTTGGTGATTTAGTGTCATCGGTTTAAATCAAACAAGAATTTAAATAAAAGTTGTCAAACCTAGTTAGAAGTTATGAGGTGTGCAATTGTTCAACGATGTTATAAATTCATAGCGTGGGTCCAGGGGCGGAGTCCAAGTGGTAGAGCCCTTGGGCGGGGTCGAGTTGGGAAATTTTTTGTTTTAGACATTATTTCTTTATGAACATTTTTTAGATTTTCGTGAACAGAGTCTAAAATATTAAAAAAATCTTGGACTATGGATAAAGACCGGTTTGTTGCTTTAGCATTAGTCGGTAAAGAGGTTGATGGTTAAAAAACTTGGTATATGAGATTCTTTTATAGTCCAAACCAATATCATCAAAATCTGTAAGATGTGACAGTGCTGCTAGCTTGGTTAAGGCATATAGTCAAGTTTTAATGTTTAGTCTAGACACATGGGTGTTAGACATGTCATGATTTGTAATTTGATCAAAAGTGGTGTGATATCAATTGAGTATGTTAGAAGAGATCTCATGCAAAATCCGGTTAAAGAGCTAGGATTAAAGTCCATATGATGTCTCTCGTGGTAAGATTCCCAATTCTCACCTAATCTTACATTAGGTACAGAATTCAATATGGAAAGTGTAACATCTAGAGATTGCAACACAAAGTAACATCATCTAGAGATATGTGTTTAGAACTACAAGATAAAGAGATTGAAGTATATCTTCTTAATGATTCTTTTGAAAAATTGTATATGTAGGTACAAGATATAATAGAACTACCTATACGAGTAGTAAATATGGTGTCAAGCTAAGAGCAAAGAAGCACTTGAAGTTAGCAGCCCCTATGAAGCCTCAGGAAGAGGGGGTACGGGAGTAGTAACCCTCGAGTAGCGGGAACCAAGGGGCGGTTCTTATTTTGGACATTATTTCTTTATAAAAATCCTTTAGATTTTCGTGAATGGAGTCCAAAATATTAGAAAATCCGTGACTTCGAATAATGACCGATTAGGACCAAACTCTATGAACGTTTGCGTCCAAAAAATGAAAGCTTGTGTTTATCCCTACTGCGCGAAAGTCTGCAAACTTTTAGGCGAAAGATCATGTCTGATCGTCGATTTTCATCTCTATAAATAGAGATCCTCGAATATGGATGAAGATATGATTTGAAAGGCTTATTCTTGATTAAAGTATTTCGTATCCTCCGAAATAACTCAAATTTGAAAGTGTTTTTCTGCAATTTGTTATACTCTATCAAGTTATTCTTCTCTTTCTTTGTTATCGCCGTTCCGCAACGTTCTTCTTCCAGACCATTCTTCTAGAATCAGCAAGATTGCAAATGCAATATATGGAATATGGTACTATATGTGTCATGACTAACCTTCCTGCAGAGTCATGAACGGAAACTGAAAATTCAAAAAATACGATCATATTCATACATATCCCACTTTTTAATGTATCATTATTTCATGTCTCTTACAAACTCTAGTTTCTTATTTATATCATTTGATCAAATTCATTTCAAGTTTAATTTATTTAAACATTGTTGTAAATTTGTTTTAAAAAAATATTTAAAATTTACAAAAATCTAAAATGATATCAAGTTCTCTCTAAGTCTCAAAAAAGCTTCATAATTGGGGTTGACTTAAAATTTAAGGAAAAAAAATTGTGTGTGTTGAATGTGGTGCAGAGTAAGGAGAAAAATGTTGGAGCTTACAAAATTTGCCAAACATAGAAATTAAAGTCTTTTTCGGGGCGTACTATAAAAACGTAAAATCATTTTGGGATAAGTTGAGTACAACTTACTGTAATGTAAAAAGAGAGAGTTATTGACAATACTAATACAAGATTGAATGTTAGTGTAATACCCCGTATCAAGATGGGAATGAGAAGAGCTCAAAAGGATTGATAGTACTACTCATACCAACAAGGTGCAATTTCTTTTCGAGAGCTCATCACCTAGAAACTCCAAGGTTAAGCATGTTTGACCTGGAGCAATTCTTGGATGGGTGACCCCCTAGGAAGTTTTCCTTGGGCGCGCATGAGTAAAGGACAAAGTGTGCGGGAAAGACGTGTGTTGATTTGTGGGGCCAGTCTATAATCCTATGAGCAGACACTTACGGCCAGGGTGGGGGCCAGGGTGTTACAAATGGTATCAGAGCAACCCTGCGACCGTGAAGGGCCAAAAGAGCTTAGTTCACCTAGGGAAGATCTATGGGTTCAAAAAAAAAAAAGATGCAACGAGGACGTTGCATTCCTAAGTGGGGGTGAATGTAATACCCCGTATCAAGATGGGAATGGGAAGACCTCAAAAGGATTGATAGTACTACTCATACCAATAAGGTGCATCTTATTTTCGAGAGCTCATCACCTAGAAACTCCAAGGTTAAGCGTGCTTGACCTGGTACGGCCAGGGTGAGGGCCCGAGTTTTACAATTAGTGGATACAAGAATAAACAATGCCAGTAATCTGGACAAATACACTGCGACCGAGGTAGTAATATTTTGAAGTA